TGGTTCGACTGAGTGGTCGAAGGGATTCATTTCGGGAGCATTTCTTCTCCAGGAGAACCATGCGGGATCTCGAGAAAACTTTAAAGGTGTGTCCGCAGGTCAGCGAAGGGTTCATGAACAGGACAACCCTCTATTTTGAAACGCGTACCACGGCACGATGGGCAACGAATCTGAATCATCCAACGAGCGGAGTCGCCGAGAGCCTGTGCGTACGTGAGTCTTTCGAGCCCATTCCAAATGTTTCTGAAGCTCTGTATGATCGGGCCTCTGATTTGTTCCCCATCAGGAACTCTGGAGGGATCTTCGAATCGATATCTCGATCAGTCGGCCAATCAATCCATGTCTATGAATTCAAAGCATCGCGACTGAATATTTCGCAGAATTCCCACAATGGGTCATCTTCACTGAAGCCTAAAGTCGCTGGAATCGGAGCCTCGCAAGTGACAGGGAATCGACGGATCTCTACCCGAAACGCGGAGCAACCAAAGGGTGGGCGAGCCCCAATAACTCTTCCTGCTTTGCTCGGAAATATCCGATGGAATTCGGACAGTATTTTGACACGATAAAGTCGTCATCATATTTCATCGAGTTTCTAACCTTCATCGACTGGACGTCGGTAGCGACGATGAACTACCGGAACAGGTTTATACAACTGAAGCTATCGGATCGTTCTCGATCCAGCGACTCAGTACTTTCGAGTCCAGTACTCTCGAGAGAGCCGGCGTAATATCACGGAGCATCGGGGGATCTTCGATCGATTTTTTTCATGTCCGATTTTTCCGCGTTCTTTGCAGTTTAACACTCGCACGTGCTGGTTTAGTGTCTGAAGTGCTCTCGCAGAGAAATGACTCGTTGTTTCGAATCGTCATGGAACGATGACGTCTGTAGACGCTTCGCGTCGATCCCAGTGAGCCGTGCCAAATGAATACATATGAATGTAATTCCCTATGGTTTTTCTGACGGAGTTTCCAGTTTCATGCCTCCGTTTTTCCTATTCCGAAGGCAGATCGAACCTTCAAGGTCCGGGAGACTCGGGGAACTAAGGTCGGCTCGAAAGATCACCCGCAAACTGCTCGGGGAAGTCCGAGGTCGAAAAAGTTGGATTTTCCGAATTGATCGGACTGTTTACTCCAGTCTTCTAGGTTCCTTGCAGCTGCGGATTCAGAAGGTTCCGCGATGCTCTACCGTGAACCGCTATCCCAGCAATCAATACACTGGAAGTTTGTCGTTCTTTCTCCGTCTACGTCATGAGGATATTCATTGATCGAAAAGTGGAGAGTTTAAAGTCTTGTCGCGATTTCTTGTACATGCATCGCGAGCTCGACGTTCTTCGCGTAATATGATTGACTTGAACGTGGGAGAAAGACTTTCCTAGTCCGAGCGCATCTGGATCGCTGCGCGTACATTTCTAGGACGGGTTGATTGATTGATCAATCAATCGATTGATTGATTGATCGAATAAATTATGAATCATTCATGGTAAATAAAACGCAATCGTGAATCAGGAGACCGCGGATACTCTCAGTGTCTTTACAGGCTGAACATACGATTAGAATTTAAGTTGGGGAAATCGAATGATAAATTACGGATGAGGCTCGTGGAATGTGAACAATGCAAAGTGCGCAAAGGTGATCCATGCCGAGCTCATTGGAGGATTAGTGCTTCCTGAAAACGAGGAGTCTGGTGCCGATGCACCGTAGCGCAATGAATGTCGTCCTCATAAGGACTCGTTCAGAATGCGATGCTGTGTGGATAGCGGCCGTCCGGATAGCGGTGCCGTTCAGATCGTGTCTCAGCGTTACGTACGTCGCGAAGGAGTGGTGATTGACGCTAAATCGCCGATGGCCCATGCGATTGTTCAGTTTCACTCGAGATCGAAGACGTATCGTGAGGTCACATCGTAGCATCCGGCTTCAGTGCTGAGGATTTCCCAGCAGCATGTTCAAAGGATGACGAAGCTCGCTTGACTCGCTCGACGTGTTGACTGCACGAAGTCATCGGTGACGTCAGGCGCGCGCAACTCACTTTACGGGATCGAATGCCTTCGCCGGGCATTGTAATCGCCGGGCTCAATGGGAGTTTACCGACGATGGACATCTCAACGCTTCGACTCGCCGCACCGAGAAGGACGAGACCTTTCCGAAGCCGTCAATCGACGACGTCGGAGTCTGTTAAAGCTTATCGAGGTGGAAAGATGCGTTGTTGCAAATGTAAGGAGGTTCTTCACCGACGAGTGATGCACGACGAGCAATGAAGCGTTCGGCATGGAAAATTGTGGAGATGTTGAAATCGTCAACTTGATATTGGAGCCGCGGAAGCGGCAGATAACGCCAAAATGGTATTTAGAAGACGGAGAGGTGTACTTGAGAATACCGTGGCGAATGGTTGACAGCAGAAGAAAACGAGGAAAAAAAGAATCAGAACAGTTTCTCCGAAGTCCGAAGCAGGCCACAGTCAGCGGGATACGGAGCTCACTTCCCCCTGAATTTCTTGGTCTTAGCATCAGTTGTTGTCATTAAGTGTGATTTTTACGGCGGTATACTAAGCTAGTGCCGTCGCCTGCCTGCCCGCCCGCCCGCCCGCTCACCAGCCTCAACGATCGACCGAGCCGACATCTGACCGACCGACCGACCGACTGAGTGACTGACGGGATTGTTGGCTGTCCGTTAAGACGACCTTCCCGATCTGAAATCAGTGCGGCTCTCACTTGGCATGCGTTCACCTTATATTTCGGTGCCTCGACCGACAAACTCATCGTCAACATTGGCTATTGAGGCGGAGCTGAACATCGAAGATGCGACTTTTCGTCTACTGTTTCCATCAGCCAATCGCACTCCGCGACGTCGGTCCTGATGACTCGATTCCGAGATTTTTATTTTTGCGGAAGGTGCGCCGCTGCTTGACTCTGACGGCAGAATGAAGTGTTGTTTTTCGGCGCAAAAGCAAGTGAAGCGCAGAAAATCTTCCTGAAAGATTGTCTTTACCTTCGATTCGCGGACGGGCTCTCGATAGCAAGTCGCCGACCGGGATTCTAGAAGTCGCTCAGATTCACTTTCTGGCTGAGGTTCAGTGATTGCCAATTGCGCGGACGCTTCAGATCAGTGTTGTTGCTCTGGACTTGTCCTCTACACGACATCCGAGAGGCTGAAATTCCTCATTCATCCCAGCGAACCTCTATGGGGTAGTTCGGATTCCGCATTGACGCAGGATGAGCGGGAGCCGTTCACTATCTTAGGAGGAGCCGGGAGGACTCGATCGAAACCTGGAGTGTCGGCCACGGCTATTGAGAAGGTATTATTCGTACCGAGACCTGTCGCACGAGAATTCTCCGCCCAGAGTCTCCATTGCAGTTTCCCGTTCCGTGCAAGCAAGGATTCGCACAGCAGAAAGCTCGGTGACAATCACCGGAGCGACCCGATGGTTCTCGGGGAGAATTTACCCCTCTCGTTCTCTGCACTGTTTTCTGACGGAGACCATTGTGGCTTCCCTAACTCTCCGCCCCGTGCCAAATATTCTCATACATAATAGCCCTATGATGCGGATTGATGGAGATTCAAGAAAACATATAGCTTTTCATACACAATTGCTATCGTTCTGTTTATTTACAATTTACATTCAAACTGTACAAAAATATATTTCAGGGTCTTCGCTGCATCTGTCGTCGCCAGCGCCCAATATACGCACTCCCCTCATGTACTCATTCTCACAAACTCAGAAATTTGACAGTTTTCATTGAAAATCATAGGAGTCGAGATCAAAAAGTTTACCTCTCTTGTCGCTTGGCTCCGACATCGGCAGGTCCTCCTCTGTACCGCGCGTTTTCAGTCGACATTCCCCTTTGGGTGAAGCTTGCTCAACTTGAATATCCCCCCGCCCTCCCTTTTAACCGTGCTATTCCAGCATCCTTTTTTCCGACCTTTCCTTTATGTCCTAAATTAGGTTAAAACAATACTGACTCTTTGACACACGTCATTTCCCGGGAATAAATTATAGGTCCAGAATAAATTACTATGATCATCAGGGATCTCCTCTGTATATACATATAGGGGGAAATGTCTGTCATGATGAAGCCACGCACCTACACAAGCTACCTCGTGTTCCTGCTTCTATCATCGTCCTTCCGGTAGCACATCAATACGAAATTCAGAATTCCCGGTCGCTCGCGGAGTCGGCGATTCGAACCACCCGACCTTTCCGTCCCATTCGCCGTCTTTCTCACCGATGAAGTCCATGCTCAAGGAGTCACTCGGATCAATTTTCTCTCCCCCTGTCTACAATCGTGAGTTGGATCATCTGCTACCTACGTGTGTGGAGAAGTACCTAATTTTTCCGCGCTAGTCGCTCTGACACCCCGAGGTGCCAGGTTTTTTTCTCGCATCTCCTCTGCGGAAAGGGATAGTCTAGTTGGATTCCGCAAGACTACGGAAAATGCTGTTGTCCTTGATACTGATTGTTTACATGACGCGGAGTAATTTGAAACTCTAGAGTGGTTTACACACACCGACCCAGAATGGGGTGAGCACGATAATCGGCGATTTCCTGATGATGTCCTGAGGTTCGTGAATCAGTCGCCGAAAAGCATCCCGTCAGATCTGGCGATGGGCTCCCAGTTCGATAGCGTAGTTCCTATCGAATCCGGATCGCAAAAATTTTGATTCTCGCGTCACACGATTGGCCAACGTTTCCAGAGATCCGCTGCATGACGAGACTATGCGGGCTGAGTGTGTTGACATTTGGAAGTTTACGACGCTGTTGGTCCTTGTCGTCGTCATGAAGTTGAACGGTGGGATTTCAGAGATTCACCTACGGCGGAGTATCATTCCCCGAGGAGAATGGAGAAATCGCTGTTCGTCGAGGTTTCCGTGACCTCTGCCGTCGAATAAAATTCTAAGTCCGGCGGATATGGCAGCTCTCGATGGAAGTTGCTTCAATAATTGGTGAGAAGATCTTCTATGTGAACTATACATGACTAGAGTTCGGTGGGAGGATGAGCGAGTTGCTCAAAGCAGACTTGAGAATGCCGAGCCTTCATCTACTGGCGTTTCCCGTAGTACGAGAGCGGGGCTCTTCTCTGGATGCTTGGCCAAGAAGGCGAAGAGCTTGCTCACGTAGCTGACCATGTCGATGTAGTCGCGGAGGATCATGTAGTCGCGCAGGGTGATCTTGTGTTCCCCGATCGGCTTGCGCTGCTCGACCGACATGACATCCCGCAGGACATCCGGATCTTTCTTGATCCTGAGTAGGCTGATGCTCATGTCGAAGTCGCATAGGAAAAGTCGGAGAGAGTATTGGATTTCGCGAAAAAGATTGGCGAATTTCCCTTCGTGAGCGAACACTTGGTCCAACGTAGCCTGCTCAAGACCCACCGCGTAGTGCTGAAGGTATCCGTATACCCTTCGGAACGCCGTTTCGATCTGTAGAGGAACAACAACACCGTTGTTAGATTCACGCGCCTCAAGCTCTTTCGCGGCTGAGATATTGGCCGCCATTTGTTATACTTTCTTTCTTCGTCTTTCCGCTAGGATTTCGTCGAGTGCCCGGTCAGTACACTACGAACTACAGCAGCCGGTGCCACCAGCACCACCGGCACGATCTGATTATTATTATCATCCCGACAGACAGGACAACGAGAGGAAACGCCATCACAAGCACGGTCACTATGTGCCACCAACCATCGACCGAAAGGCAGAGGGAGAAGACGAAGAAAATAATGCGGAAAAAAAATCGCACAGGAAAAAAAAGTGAGCACGGGATGCCACGTTCGTCTGACCACTGTCTGAGCGAACGTGTTTTGCCTATATTCGCGCGTGCGGGTTCGGATACTTACGTTGGTGTTGTTGAAATCGTCCTCGTATTCGGATTCCCTAGGTGGTCTGGGAAGCCAGTTGTGTCGGGTCGACCGGTATATATCCTCGTATAATGAGTCATTGTAGGTTCCTTCCAACTGCAAGTAGATCGGAACGAGTCACGTTAGAAACGGATAGATCAGCCGCTGGGTAGAAGCTACTGCCTTTCGCGGATCCGAAACCGTCATTGTTGTCGACCGGCTCTCGCTCTCCTAACGAATCGGAACTGATACCGCGCCGACGAAGATTTTCCTGTTCTAGTTTCATGATTAAGAACTGAGACCGCCTCAAAATGAACCCGTTTGACCCTGAGCGACCCAATACGCGCAGCCGGAGTATCGAGAGATTGAAGCAAGCGCCCCAAATTACGGCTGGCCAGTACGGACGCCACCGGCCAGCCGGTCGATCGGCCGTCGTCCGTCGGGGCGTAGGAGCGATTCAATTTGTTGCTAGTTACGAAATACTCTAAAAGAACAAAATGAACCCTCTGAAATTCTATCGTAGACCTTGCCCGTCCAACCGCTCGAAGGACCGACAGACCGACCGAAGGACCGACAGACCGACCGAAGGACCGACCGACCATATGACCGACCGACCGTATGAACGACCGTATGACAGACCGACCGTTGACCGACCGATCGTATGACGGACCGACGAAATGACCGACGGCACGACCGACGGACCGACCATATGACCGACCGTATGACCGACCGTATGACCGTCCGTATGACCGACCGTATGACCGACCGTATGACCGATTGACCGTTGACCGACCGATCGTATGACCGACCGACCGTTGACCGACCGATCGTATGACCGACCGACGAAATGACCGACGACACGACCGACGGACCGACCGTATGACCGACCGTATGACCGACCGTATGACCGACCGTATGACCGACCGTACGACCGACCATATGAACGACCGTATGACCGACCGACCGTTCACCCGCTCGACGGACCGACCGACCAACCAAGTGACTGACTATGTGACCGACTCAGAATGTGTCGGACGAGGACACGGACGAACATCCACTTGTATCGATCGCCTCGAATACACAGCCTCATCGTTACTGCAATAGCATTCCAGGTGGACGGCCATTGCCGTGGCGAGCGGATGAACGAGCCGGGCGATTCGTCGAAATTCTCGAGGGCTCGAGACAGTTTGGCCGTGGATTTGACGTTTTCGGATAGGCATCGAAGCTCGGTTTGAGTTCCGAGGAACAGGCATTCCTTGAAACAGTGAGCGTCCTCCAGTGCTCCCTGGACCAGGTAGAGAGCCACGTAATGCGAACAAGAGAGAGAGATCGATGAGTTTCTAGGTAATGCAAGGACACGGGGCTTCCCCGTACTCTTTTCCCTCCTCCGCGTGAATGGCCTCCATGTGCTTGGCACGCCACCGGCTGGCCGTACGGAGCGGGAAAGGGAGTCAATACGTTCGTCCGCACGCCGGCACGCTCACCGAGCGACACGCCGGCTGACTGACTGGGTGACCGACTGACTGACTATATGTATGGCTCACACTTGCGAAAAGTCCAATGACGGCTCGCTGCGTGCAAGCGCTTGGTGGGGTGGCCCTGAAGTTAAATGGACCGATGTCACCCCGAACACAACGCAGACGACTTCTTGGAAATGCAAGTGGGCCGAATCCCTTTTTCCACCGCGGCCGCCACAACTCGGAGACGACTCCGGCACGGATGGACTTCTGCGCCGCCCGTGACGACGACGTTGACGACAACGCCACCGACAACAACGACGACGACGACGATTCGAGCCAAATGAGTGGGCACCCTTGCTCCGGTCGGAGTGACAAGCAGAGGAACGAATGGTCAGAGAAACTCAAACGGCAGCCAAAGCCATGGAGGATCTCGCGCGCAGCAAGGAGCGAAGTCTCAGAACGACAAAGTCACACATAGTAGAAAGTCATAACGAAAGTATCTCCGCTGCGTCCCCTGCTCAGTTCGTCCTGACTTTTCTTAGAATGCCGTTTGCTTGCTTGCTTGCTCGGTTGTCCGTGTTCGCCCATTCGTCCGTTCTTCGGTCGCTCGGCTCGTACAGGCCGCAAGATTTGCTGGCCGAGGTGTTCGTTTCGAGGTCCCGACTTCGACACCATCGCGGACGAGCAATCAGCCAGCCAGCCAGCCGGCGAGAAGAGCGAGTGAGCAAGCTAGCGGGCATGTCGGCTAGCGCGAGGAATCAAGAGCGAGCGCTGACTGAAGTGTGCGCACAAAATCGCCGTCTCCTCACGTGAAAGATCGGCGATTTCGAAGAAATCAAAATTTGCCTCTGTCAACGATCTCCTTCCAGCCGAGGGGCTGTTGCACTTGGTATTCCGATCGGAGTCGGCGATAAAGGCGTCCATCGCCAAGCAGAGGAACGACAACTGCACACAAGAAAAGATGGGAACGATACTGTAATTGGATAGACTCGAGGGGGCTTCGATCGTTCGCGCTGTCAAAATTTGGATTTCGGGCATAAAGGACCACGAGATCGATCCCAAAGATCGACTCGAATTCACCTGTTGTTGTCGATTACAATCTGCGCTGCTTAATTGATTGAGATCCGGGGTAGAACCGAAAGCATAGTATGCTCCTTCCGTAAATACGGACGATACGTCAAGAGAAAATCGTGGGAGATTCCCACTGAGTTCACGAAAAAAGCAACGACACCAGGAGTTCATGCTCTAAGTGGAGGCACTGACAGGATGGAGAAGGAGATGAATGAAAATATTTGAGAGAAGGGTTAATACTCACGAATTGTTTCTTCTTCTGTTCCGCTTCCCGGCTTGTCATTTCGGCACGCATGCTGATCTCACTGAGAAGGTTGTGGAGTTTCCCCCAGTCTGGAGTCTCTGCCAGAGGACCGATGGTGCTGGCGCCGCACGGGGAACGCCAAAAACTTTCGGGTTGCGCGTTCCTCTGTTGGTAACCCATCGGTACTGCCGCAGATTCTGTTTCGGTGGCCCACAAACAGACAGCGCAGAGGAATACTGCAATTAGGGGAAACATTTTTGCGAGTGACGACAGGACCATGTCGATGAGTTGTTCGGATTACGGCTCGCGTTGTTGTGTCCAGTCACGAAAACCACCACAGGCACAATGCAGCTGGAGCACGTCGCAGAGAAACTGATTAGAAATCCTTTGTTCGTTCTGCGAGAACAGCACACTGAAGACAAGTGTCCAATGTTTTCGGATAGCCTCTCCTAATGTTTGAGTTGAGGTGGAGGCGAACTTTTCGGAGCACACTACGGAGGCGCACGCCGAGTTCGAGTTGTTATATAAGTTTCGTTACACATCAGACGACTTACGAACTCGATGAACACGGAAAGTTCAGTCTGATGAATTTATATTTCTACCGCCATATATCCTATTTTGTGTTAATCGGCGAGGACCCGGTGCAGCTCTCCCATTGAGCGAGGGCATCAAAGAGGAGGGTTGCCTCGCATCAGGAGGGGCTAAACGAAAGGCTCGCTCAAGAACCGCGCGCAGAAATACAAACCAGTTCCATTCATTCCCTTTGTCCATTCATAGCTCCAATAAAGTTTCTTCGGAGAATACTTTCTCGGCTCATTCCATCGATTGCAGACGATCGAAAATGGAATTTCTGGAAGCGAAATTTCGAACGGTGCCGTCTTCACGGTGATAGTTGGCCAACGCTGCGAGATGGCTGAACTTTAGCATTCTGGGTAGCAGTACTTTGGTGGAGATGCTCGGATGGAATACTGCTTCTGATTGATTGGAGAGCTTAGAATCAGAGACCATTTGGCTCACAGGAGCTGCTTCCGCGACTTCCAGCGGGCGCTGGATTGTCGCGTGGCGGACAACCTGTTTGAATGCGACTAAAAGACGGCTCACCGGGCTCTTTTACGTAGCTCTCGTATCGAACCCTCTGTTTTCTGGGCGGAGTAAATGAAGAGGAGGCTCACATCTCCGGAGCATGGTTATGAAATCGTCACATTACCATGACGGAAACTTTTCTAGAGCTCTCCGTCGAGCGGGGGAGGGATCCGTCGTCGAAGTCGTCAAAGGCGGAAATCTTCGAGCGGAGCACCAGCAAGTTGAACTCACCGAACAGTGTCCGCATGTGATTCCCTCCACGCCTTCCTAAAAGAACCAAACTCAAGAACTTCGTTTCAACTCTGGGTTTTATTGCACGAGAGGAACCAGATACTCGAGAGCGACACCTGCCCGTAATGAACGCCCTCCGCTCTCTAGCGTATACATTTGCACCGAAAAATCAGCAGAAACATGCTAAATTTTGAGTGCAGCGGGAGCTGACTCCGACGGCTCTCGTCGTGGACGTTGTAAAAAAGGCATTTGCCCGTCACTGTTTAAAGCTTCGTCTGGATTCCGGCTCTGGTTCGAAGATCGACGAAAGCATTCATTGCTCCCCCAATCCGTTTGATCAGTCACAAGAGCGTGCTAGATTTGTTTAGGATTCCCATTGAGCTTTTTCGGAAAATAATCTCGATCGTAGACGAACTCGTGCAGAGTTGATCGCACCGCAAAAAAAAAACACTCTGCCATCTTGGATTATCCGTCTTGTCCGGATTCTCAGGCTGATTTTCTTTAGACCAACCTAGTGATTCCCACAGGATCTGACAGGATACGAGACCACGCGTTGTCGATGCCGTAAACAAAGGCGACTGTAAAAAAATACACCATCCGGAGCGATTTCGACTTGAGCCCTAAATGTTTTTACTTGCGGTCGTCCATCGCTAATTCGTCTCGCGTCGCGAGTGGAATGTCTTCCCTAGAAACGTGACATCCTCCGAGTTCTTAGCAACTTTTCCGTCGTTCAGAATTCTCGATTCCCCATATTAACGAGAATTCAGCTGAGTCTTCCAAACTCCGATCGGAGCCCGGAGGCGACGTCCACAGGGCACAGCTCCGTCAAAGATGAAAGCCTACCTGCGTGTGAACACCGGTGGAACACAGTGAGTCTACATACTTCTTTGGAGAAAGCGACGCATGATCCCAGTGGGGTCCGGTGGGATTTTCCGACATCGGTCGGCCGAAATCGCCTTACAAGTTTCCTACTGGGCTAACGGAAATCTCCGAATGTACAGAAGACATATGCTTCTCCCTATTTTCTGCATCCCACCCCGGGGAGCTCTACCACTTCCGTTAACGCGTAACGCGCGCAATCGTCCCCCAATCTGGAGTCGGAGCCGCTCACCGACTTATTTCATTGACTTCCGAATCGTCTCGATGAGTCATAATCCCATGTGTCACGAATTGCCCAAATGTTCGGGAACAAAAGTCCTCTGTGTCAACTCGAATCCCTTATCGATTTGTCATTGATCCTCCTTGATTTTGTCCAGATGATCCCTTCCGCGTAAGAAGGACATCATCGAGTGAACTCACCTCAATTTGTGTGTTGCCCCCGTTTGTGCAACGACAATCGATTTCTGCACAGGTACTCCATATGTGTACGTTACTTGACTCGTTACAATAGCACTACATGGTGTTTGCTGAATCGTGCTGAGACTCTGTCGCGGCGAAATTAACTGCTCGCGAACACCTGAGCCCACTTTAACCGCTGCACAATACACGCGGCCAGTTGAGGCTGTGTATTGTCGAAACTTCCTCTAATAGACTACTACTGTTGAGCGTCTGGAGCACCTTAAGGCCGCGATTTATCAGCTAGGCGAGGGATGTCTCGAATTATGAAGTTAGGTAAGAGGTAAGATAATAGAGCTAAAAAATCCAGAAAAGCCAATCTCGAAGAGAGCATCGCCGAGAGGGGCTTTTCTGAAAGCCCTCTCCGAGCTCTGCACCCCTCGTCAGCTGGACGTGAGTCATTCGTCAGCGCTCTCTGATCTCGGGAAACACCGAGGAATCATGAGGCAGGGGATAAGAAAATCAATGGCGGAAAAATACGACTCCCATTGACTCGAGGATTCGATGCACGCAGACCGCCGAGGAGTCAATGAGTCCATAACGCTTTTGAATGAGAGAGCAGATCCAATTACCGCAGATTAGAGATCTCCCATGCAGTCTGGCGCAAGCAGACGGCACGGCGTCGGGAGGATCGGCTGAATTTGATAAAATCATACAGAAACCCTCGCAGTCTGACCGGTCCCGAGTCGAGACACTAACGCTAAGCGCTCCGTCGGAAGGACTGACAGGCTCCCGCGATTGGCTCGGGGAAACCGAACTGTCATTGAGATCCCACAATAGGATCCATTGGCCGCGAGCGGAGGATACGCGGCTGAGTGAGACACGTTGCTCACGGAGCTTGATGGAGCCCGGACCCGCAGACCACATTTGAGCCCACGTTTCACCGTTGGGAACGCCTCAACGTGGGATGTTGAGCACCGGTGCTCTCCTGGAATTCCTAGAAGTTGTTACTTCTCACCCGCAAGGCAGCCGTCTCCATTACATCCTTTTTGTTTGTCTTCGGCGTAACCTTGTAAACGTGGTTATGCGTAGGTTCACGAATCACGAATCTCCGACCGAAGTGCCGAGTCAGACCTTCCCGAGTACCCTGAATACCAGAGATGCCCGAGAAGTCCCGAAAACGAACGAGAGGAAGGAAGGAACGAAGGTCGACGAATGAAAAAGCGAGCATAGCGCAGACCGACAGAGTCTGAGGTCACTTCATTACCTCCGAAGAGCAGACGTCACCGAGAGGGAAGCGCGATTTTACTGGGGGCGAATTCTTGCGCGGTGGGCGTTCAGTCTTTCGCAGATGAGATATGAATGCGTCAAGTTCGCTTGTTGTTGTCATAAAATGTTGTTCTTGTTCACGTAGGAGGACGAGGAGCAAGAACGAGCACTCTCGGAAGCCGCGGGGCCGAGAATGAGATGACCGAGGGACGAAAGATTCAGGGGCCGGCCACTGGATCGGGGGCTAGCGAAAGGTGAAGATTTGAGAAGTCCTGTCGGAGTGCAAGACGTGCTTTCCTCGGAAAAAGAGGCTCCTCTCTTTCGGGAAACTTTGTTCATTCCCAAAGTCGGCTCCGAGCGGCAAGTGTGCGGGGGCGGCAGGTGGACTGCGGGCGGGTGGACCGGCCGGCCGGCTGCTCGACCTGCCGACTGGCTGGCTAAGAGCTGCTAAAAATGTATAGTTGAAGAGATGAGCGTACCGCGCCGTGGCGTAGAGAGCAGCGGAGGCGATCGAAAATAGAAGAAAAAACACCGACACTCGATGCTACACTCTTGTCAGCCGCCGATTGTTATAGTTATCGGATTCAGTTCAAAGGATCTGCGCAAACACTCCAGATACACGAACGCGGCTGCGGTCATCGCTTCTGAAGTCTGATGGAGTAACTCAATCAAGGCATAAGTGTTAGCGAGGGAAGTTCCTCGACGTTACCGTCGTAGTTGACTGCGACGACATCGCCGTCATCATCGTCTGTTACATCGTCTCTCGACTCCGTCTTCGAGGGAAACAGCCACAGATTCTGAAGGACAGGCGGCGAAGGATGGGCGGCAGCCGACACCGTCACCCCGATAAAATGGATGAAAATTCGCGGTTCGACGGATCATTCTCCGCCGTCGGATTTGTCCGGCGGCAAGTCCACGTCTCGTTAAGACTGAGGATTGTACCGAGAACGAGAAGCAGCTCCCAGCCTCGTGGCTGGAGCGTTGCCTCCGAGAGACGGAAAACTGTTCCGACCTCAAGTAGCCAACCGCTCCGACCCATTCTTTCATAAAAAAAAATCAATACGAAGACGTTCTGTCTCCGATTAGCGCCCATGGTGTTTCGTTTCGCGTGTGAAGAGCGAACCACACACTGATCGTGAGGTGTACTGTGGTGGAACGATCTGCGGACATAACCGCGGTCAGAAGCTGCTGAATGAGAATCTCTCCGCCTACCCACTATAGTTCCTGAGTGGGCTCTGACATTCACACGGAAGTTCAGCGATAGCTATTCCCAATGAAAGTCAAGCGCATATGGGAATGCGGGATCGCGTTTACATGGTCGA